ATTTACTTCAAAGTCTTAGAAGTGTTTAAAAACTGGTTTTTCTAGTTTCTGTTGCAGCCAATGCCCTCATAGGATCTCTTTTCAATCCCCATTTTCCTTTGCACACACCTTGTTTAAGCAGGAAGAGCTTAATTTAAGCCATAATCTTTCATCAGAATAAACCTTAGTCTGTTTTCAAAATACTGGCACTCCTCTCCCCCCTCAGTTTGACAGGGCCCAGCAGCTTATTGCTTAAAGCTGACTGATGCCTAGTAAATGCACTATTTCACCAGCCCACATCTGCAGGGTGACACTCCTGTAATTTACCAACATTGCACCAGTTTAGGTTATCCTTTTCTCAAGAGCAGAGAGTAGAGCTCCAGTGTGCAGGGGCTTTAGCATCCTTTTCCTGCTCCCACTAGGAATTTATAGTAATGGCTGAAGGCAGGACAATCTGCTCTCTGTCTTGGGTTGAGGTTGTTTAGTGCTGCTTTCCATTGCAAGGACTTGTCTCAGCTGAGCGTTCGTCTCTCTGTACTTAGAACGTGGTGTGCCTTAGAGCTCTCAGGCAAAGCTAAGCCTTACTGTTCTAGTGACAAGTTCCTGAGATAGGATCTACCTGCTGCCTTTATTGCTCAAGCACAAATTGCCTATGGTTAAATATTTGGGCATTTATAGATACAGGTGGCTGCTAGGAGAGTTAATGTAAGAAGCAGCAATACTGATGATATAGCAACTGAGTTCAAATGGATCTAAAAGGAGCTGGTTAAACCAGACAAGTACACAGATTTTGATCACTACCACTTGAATTCCAGCAGTTTATTGCATGGGACAAATTATATTGATTTGTAACTATTGTTGAATTGATTAATTTTAACTGTCCTTGTATGTTATGTTTTCCCTTTCATCACAAAAACAGGTATGTTCTTTTATAGGGGGGTGAGGAAGGTGGGGAAGGGAGGAGTGGAGAAATGTATTATGTAATTTTAAAGCTTTTTCTTTTAAAATTTCTATGTCAAAATGTTAGCCATAGTCATGCCTTATGTATTCAACTTCACCACAGGAAGAAAGCAACAGAACAGGAAAAAAGTAAACTCTAACCTAAGTAACAATTATTAATACAGACTTTTTACATTGAAAAGGGGCATGCCCAGAATGTTGTTGAAAATCCTACTAAAGGAGCACATTTTAAATTAAATGTTGTATTTAGTACATTGAGATACAGAGGACATGTAAAATAGCACAAGTAAAGAACTGTGAAATTGTCATCATATATTTTCTCCTTGGTTTCAAGAAATTCAGATGATGAGATGGCTTTGCTGTATCTGCTGACATCTGGCATGTTCAGATACTCACCCTCACTTTTCAACTGTCATAGAACCTATTTATCATTTTGACGGAATTTGAAGCTTTTAAACTCCAATTAATTGAGGGACAAATGGTTTTGGGTTTTTTTGTATGCTCCTGAAAATAGTTTGAGCAGCTTTAAAAATGCATAGTACAAGGTTTTGACCTCTATCAGAAAATCCCTTATGAAACTACAAAGAAGAGTCAGAGGACTACTAGTATTTCCTTAAACATAAAGGTATTTTTACATCCTGATTATTACTAAATTATTATTTCATTAGATGAAATTTGAACTGGAAATTTGCCTTTCATATACAAGATCCATGTATTTTCTCTTCCTGTAAGTTAAAACTGTTCAGCAGGATGTGCAGTCTCAGTCTAGACTTGCAAAGTGCTGCTGTGAGCAAACACCTTCCACTCTGCCAAGCCTCTTTCTGTCACCAGTGCACATGCACACAGCCACAGAGATTGGCCTGAACTCAGTGATATAAGTCTTCTAGCAAAGAGATTTCTGAAATTGTTAGAAAAAAACTTCATGCATAGTGTTGTGGATGCTGTAGCACTTCTCTTGCTCTTTTCAAGTAGCTTACCCCGTTCAGATCAAGCCTCTGATATCAGTAACCTCTGCTGCAATGATGCTAGGGGACTGGGAACTTTTGAGTTCTGAGTGTTCAAACAGGAAAAAGTTCTCATTTTCCCCAAGTGCTGGGAGGGTGGGGACCTGCCATTGGTAGGCTCAGCAGCAGCCCAGAGCAGAGGCAGCTGGTGCAGGAGGAGCAGTTCTCACACAGTCCCTGTGTCTCTCACACAAATGTCATCAGCTGGTGGTAGGAGTAGCAGCAGTGAGATCACAGGGCTGCATCTCATGTGGTTCACTGGGGTCCTGAGTTTATAGAAATGGTAAAAAGAGTGGACACAATTTCCAAAAGGAAGTAATCTCTAGGGTGTAATGCCCTGCAAGACAAGACTTCTTTTCTTTTGGAATTTTCCACTTCTCATCATGACATCTTAACATTGCAGACACCAAGCAGTTGTGAGCATTCCCATGGCAAGGCCACTCTGTGGTTTGCCATGTGCACAGCCTCATTGTTATAGACTCACTGTGCTTTCACTTTCTTTGGTTTTCATTGCCAGACATGGAAAATAGAAACTATCCTTTAGTCAATGTATTTCCTATCCTCTTAAAATAAAGAAATCACTGTTGATAGCTCTTGCATTGGTCTTGCTCATACTAATTTCTATTAAAACACCAAACCTTACCTGATATCCCTCACACACACACACACACAACCCCTCCACCCCCCAATACTAAATTGCTTTAGGAAAGTCCTGGGCTGATATCCCTAGACAATGAAGTCTTCTAACCATAGAGCCTGTCACCAGCAACATTATTTTATCTTTTTGGTCACTATGTCTCAAGTTGAACTGAAAAGAGCACAGCTAGGATTGTAAATGATGTGAACACACTTCCTTAGCAGATCTTCAGGTTTGATCTGGTGATCAGAAACAATCTAGTAAATGCAATGTGAGAATCTCAGCTGCAACATGATAAGTGACTGTGTGCACTCTAGCAGTTTACTTTAGTACAAATACTGGTTCACTTAAACCACATTCCTCTCTCAAGTACCCTTCAGCATTGTTAAACAGTTTGCAAACCCCTGCTTTACTTGCCAGAGCAAGAGAGTTATGAGTGTGCATGTAGTTACTAGTCTCAGCTGGCAAAATGGTAGCTGACATCTGGAGGCAATAACTTCCTGAAACTCAGTGGCCTTATCCCCTACTGAAAGTACATTTATTTTAAAGGGAGGGCAGGAGAGAGATTCCTTACTCTAATATGAAGTGTCATGATCAGAAAAATATGGATCTTTCATTTTCTAAATGACTGCTCAAATTCTAGTGGGAGGTGTCCCTGCCGATGGCAGGAGCTTGAAACTAGATGAACTAAAAATATGAACTTTAAGGTCCCTTTCAACCTAAACCATCCTACAGTTCTGTGAAATTAGCTTGTGTTGTCTGCATTTGTCTGGATGCCAGTGGTTGTCGCCAGTTGTCTGCACTGGATGAATTTCAGCTACTGACTGTCCTGTTGGGTCAGTGCCCTGGTGGTGAGCCTGATGCCTTTCCAGGAATCACTAGAGACAGAATAAGTTCTTCCCAGAGGGCTCTGAACCTCCCTGCCTGGCATCTCCCTGCCTGCAACTTCGTATCTGAGTCCTCTTTTGCTTTTGCATTTTGCAGAAAGCAGCTCATGGAGATGCACCTCATATCTTCAAGTCATCTTAACAGAACCCTACTGCCCCTTGTCTGTGGCTGGGGAGAGCCCCATCACAGAGGTCAGCTTCACCTAGTCAAATTTTGCAACAGAACTCAGCTCATTGTGTAATAGTGCAGAAAAATTAATTCCTTCACCAGGGTCTGGCTCTATTCTCCAAATGATTTATGATTTTCATTCTTGGAAGAAGCTTTGTAGCTCTTCTTTGCCGGCAAAGGTTTCCTGATTTTGTTATGTGGACCTTGGAAGGAAAAATCCTGATTCATTAGTACTACATTTCACTGATTTTGCTTGTCATTTTTTAAAACATAAGGCACTGGTGCTGTATGTTCATACCTTTAAGTCTTTTGGAGATCTTTCAAGGTGTAAGATGTAATAATAATGGCCAACCCTTTCCATTGCATTTCAGACAAATAGTTCACACCTCTGCAGGAGCTAGGGCTAAGACAATTTGAGTCACTTTTTGCCCTTTCTGTTCTGGACTATTTTGGGTACTCCATTCCTGAATATATCCATACCAGATACTCCATTTCTGTTATAATTTATACCCTAAGGGTACACCAGCTACCAGGGATTACAGTATGGATGGCCACACTGTTATGAATCTCTCCTGATCCTAACAGACTGCTGTGGAACAGACTGGAAAAGGCATTGCCCACTGAGAGCTTTGTACTGTTTAAACAATACTTAAAGTCAGAGTTTTCCCCATACTGGATTCAAGGTTTTTTATATTTTGCTGTCCTCTGCCACAACAGGATGTTAAATTCACACATGGAGTTTATCTTGGCTGTGAGTTTTAATTGTCTTGTTGAGCTTCTCGTTTTGCATTTTCTAAATGAGGTCACACAATTCCAGTATTTCTTCTGGAGACATCCAGGTTGAAGTGAAATAATTTGACTTTCAGATTACAGTCAAAGGAAATTCTGGAGTGTTTAAAAGAAAAGCTAGGATACAAAATAAACTTTGTTCTGTCAAATGCTGCAATTTAGATGATGTCTAAACACTGTAACATTTCCAGGGTAAGCAAACTCTGGAAGGTCAGTGGATCACTGACCAGTTCATGTTTTGCATTCCACTAACAGAACTTTTTTCCCTGCAGAGCTGCTAATGCTTGAAAAATACTGTGGGGCCATTTATTTTGTCTTTCCATTTACATTTTGAATTATTTGTCTTAAAAACTTGAATGAGATGCTGTATTTGTTAAACTTCACTTCTTCCACTTTATTGAATAAAACTAGATACAGAACCCTCAGACAAATTCTGATGTGGAGTAGAGGGCCATCACTGTCACAACATGGGGACAGCTGATAATTTTCTCTGCTGCTTGCGTGTTTCTATGGTGGTACAGACACCATATAAGATGGCTCATATTTCCTGTGTGTGTGTGTGTGTGTGTTCCCAGCTTGCACAGGTAGACCCCAGGGCTGTACACCTGGGTGCTGTCCTTATCCGTGGCCTCACGACGTTGCTCATGGCCAACAGTGCCTGTGGCTTTCCCTTCAGGATGGATGATCTGATGCCTTGGGTAGTGTTTGATGGAAAACTTTTTCAAGAAAAATACCAGAAGGCACACCGAGGTTGCTCTGTGGAAGAACTTTTGGAAGGCAATGTAAGTAATCACTTTCTTTTAGTTCTGCATTCTTTGTAAAAATGTACCTGTCTGTTTTGTTGATTGTTTTTGTATTCATGTTTACACTTTCCCCCTTTTCTTTGTATTTTTCTTCTCTCTCTCATTCCTTTTTCATTCTCTCTACAAAACAAAATTAAAAAAAAAAAAGTAGAAATACTGAGCTTATGAAGGAAGCTGTAATTTTACCTTTAATGTTGTTCCCACTACTCAGAAAATAATAGAAGGAAAATAGTTGTCAATTTCAAAAATGAAAATGCCCACAATAGTTTTCTAGTACTGAGATATTAATGAGATCTTTCTCCCATAAGATTTTAAGCAACATATTAAGAACACCTTTAAAAAATCAAATGTTTAAGAGTGATATTTTTAAAGGCATTAAGGAACCTTAATTTTGAGATGAAGGTTTGGCAAATTCAAAGAGGAACTTCAAATCAGAAGAAGGTACATTCTTTTAGAACAGGTAAATATGGGTATTTCTTTTCTAATCTCACCAAGTACCTTCCTGTAGCTTTAAGTCCTTATTTGGTTCTCAGATCCACTTTATCTTACAAATCTGGAGCTCTACAAGATTTGCATGCTGTCTTACCAAGAGCAGTGTGATTTCAGACCTGTCTGGGCAGGGAGGTGCTGCTGAGCACTGTGCACTGCTCAGGGGCAGCATGGCCAGGCTCACAGAACTCAGTGCCAGACTGTGCTGTTGCACTGGGGGAGCCTCAAACCTGACCTGCCTTGTGCCCCACCAGCACAGAATATGTGGAGAGATGCTTGGGTAGATCTGCACCCATCTGGGAAGGTAGCTCTAAAGACCTTCAATTAATGTGTCTTTCTCAATTCATGTGTCTGAAAAGCCTATACCATTTAACTACTTTTGAAAATCTTACCTTTGAAATTCTTTTACCTGCTACTGAATGTATCACTTGAGGTTAAATTAATTAAAGAGAAAAAATGTTTCCGTTTTGATTAATTTTAATCTTATGCATCAGTGCCAGTTATTTTTGTATAACTGGTTATCTTTTGTGATTTTGTGTCCAGCTGCATCCCATGCTGGTCTGGAGTGAGGAGTGCAGCTCTTGTGGGTGGGTGGAATGAACATGTTTTTAGCATGAAGGAGGAGAATAATCCTTTCCATATGTGTTCAATCATATGATTAGGACCATAACCTCTATCCAAATCCTGTGGTTCCTATTAATTGGTCTGTTGATTTCAGTAGATTTTGGATTGGGCTAATGGTTCATCCAGGAATTTCATGCAGGACTTTTACAAAACAATAGAGGGTTTAAAGAATAAATGGGAAAATGTTAAAGAATCCAAAATGAAATTGATACTTGTTTTCCTCTTGGTTAGAATCCAGGTTAGTGGATAACTTTGACAATAAAAATTTAAATCTGTACAACTTTTATATTAATTGATACAGATATTTTTAAATGTGTCATGTAGTATGTTTTAGCTAACATTTTAAAAGCTTGTGTTAGTGTTGGAGTTCTATTTTATTCTGTTTTATAATGAAGATGAAGAAAGATCTTACTTTCCTAGAATTGAGTTAGAAATATGCTTGGTCAACTGAAATATCTAGGTTAGGGTTTTTAAAAGCCTGATGCTCTGTTTTAAACAAGCCCCAGATAAACTGTTCTGTTGTGAGGAAAAATACTCTAGCTATGTGAACTTTCAGAGTAGTTTAAATACCTTTTTCTTTTTTAGGTACAATTTTATGGTACATATATGGCAGAGATATGTACCCAGACTAATAAAATAGCTTTCAGCTTATCAGTTTGAGACAAGAATCTGTTCTGGGGAGAATTGCCAAGAGATGCCAGTTTAGTTGGGAACACTGGCAAGAGAACAAGTATATGTGATTGGTTTTTCCTCTTATTATAAGTTCAGCTTTAAAAAATAAAAATGGTACCTAGCTCCTGGCAGAGCTTAATGTACTGCTGGAAGCCAAGATCGTTCAGCACTTATTTGTTAACAATCTAACCTTGAGCACCACAAATCTAATCTGGTGATAGTGACAGTACTGTATTCAGAAAAGAAGTTATTCTATATGGTATGTTTGTTATGGAAAAGAAAAATTATATGAAAAAGTTATTCTTTTGGTTGTTCAGTGCTTGTCTCCTAAGTTCTAGGGTCCTTTCTCTATTATCTGGACAGTTGCATTACTTCAGGGACTTGAGGCAATCTCAGAATCAGTGTTGTTTTCTATCTGATAGGCTTAAATACAGTTAATAGGTTTCTGACAATTACAGTGGAAATACAATCCTGGTTAAATATTTACATGTGCATAAAAAATTTTGAACATCTTAGGGTTTGCTTCCTACCTTCCTTTTGGTTCTTATACCAAAAGAAGAAAATGCGTACACTAAATACAGTTGATATTTTTGTGGGCAAGTTTTTGTGTAGCTCAGCTCTTTGTAGCCTAACAGCTGTTAAAGATAAAAAAATGGACAGCTTCTGATAAGAATAAAAATAGAGCCATCTTGTTTTTTTACAAAATTATGCTAAGCTCATATTATGCTAGTTCTGTTTTTCAAAACTGTAATCATATTAGTTTGTTTATCCACACAGAAAATTGGCTATAATAGTCTCATAAAGAAGTGAGGCAATGATATTATCACTTTATTAGCCTTTTTATTGTGCTTCTCACTAATGAGTATGTTCATGGTCAATTTTTTAAAATTAGAACCAAATTACATCATGGGGTCGGCATAATTGATGTTTTGTTCTTTTCTGATCTCGCTTTTCATCCAACCTCCATACATTCTGAGTTTATTCTCCCAGGAATAAAATGAAAGGTTTTTCTCTGTGCTCTTCACAGGCTGGACACAGTTTGTGTGGCAAACAAAATTTTAAAAAAATCTGTGGGTTTTAGATAAGTCTCTCTAAAGATGTTTGTTAACTCAAGAAATGTATTAGGGAAGTTGGGGAAGTTCTCAGCAGGTTTCATTCAGGGAGTCAGGCTCTACCTTTAATTTAAGAAACCTCTCTAGTTACTGCAGCCTTGCTACCTATTAGATTTTTTTACCTTATCCTGTCATCTTCAAAAGGAAATGTCATCCTGTAAAAATCAGTTCAGTTTTATGAAAATAACAAATTATGATATTATTCTAAAATCTCTCTTTTCCTAATTCTCTTCATTGTGTAGCAAATCCCACATGCCCAGTATCAATCCGAAAAAAAAATACATTCTAAGATCTGTCACTTTTTCAAAGCTCAGAAAACAGAGAAAGTCAAGGATGTATCACATCTCTCAATATTGCATCCTTATATAGCTTCAGCTTGTCCTTTTGACAGTAGATTATTTTTTTATCGCACCACAAGGTAAACACTTGAATTTAATTCCCCCATTTCTTTTTAGACTGAGTTATGTTTTATCAGTCAGGAGTTGGGGCAGATGTATTACTGTTGGGTAAGTTCTGTTCCTAATGTTTGAGATTAAGAGACTGATTCTAACTGGTATATTTTCCATGAGTTCATCAGTCCTTATCTGGAGGCTTTAACCATCTCTGCCTGAGGTATTGCAGATGGAAATCTAGTTAAGGGGATCTACAGGTGCAAGGTCATAGAATAGGACAGGACAGCAAGGGATTTGCAGATGTGAGCAGAGAAGGAAAAACTACTTCACTGAGAAAGGGGAAGGCATTTCCTCTGCACCCCTACTCACTCCTCCAGGTATCCACATTTAATATTAAATGTTCAAACTTTATTTCCTGTTAAAGTGTGAACCAGATCTACCAGCTTCATGCGTGCACAAGTGCGGCTAAGTCTTAGAGTTGTTGTGTCTGTGTTTGATTTGTGCTACACCTGAAGAAAGAAGAGCAGAAGAGTAATTGATTTTTAACTGTGTTTTCTGCAGGAGTCTTTGTACACACCCTTCCAGAATCTGAAGTCTCTCATTTGCAAGATTTGCATGGCAAAGAACAGAACAATACAGAGCAGACCAAGAGGGAATGGATTTAACACAGGTTGGCATTGTGTGAATTTTCTCAGTAAAGTTAATATATAGATGAGCTAAATTATCCTTCAAGAGTAGCAGCAATTACATAGGCAGCCCATCAAGCTAAGTAAATTTGAACTCCTTTCTCCAAGAAGCAATGAAAAGATCTAAGAAAGTGTTTACTCTTTTTAGCAATTTATGTGAATTTGATTACCCAAGTTTTTATAGAATAATATTTCCATCTAGGTACATAGCTAGTGAGATATATGCAATAAGTATCATTAATTGACAGAAACATCACTATTTATTCAGTGACTGAAGATATTTTTATAGGAAAAATTAAATGGCCTAGCTTTTTCTCTCAGTCCCTCAGGGGAGCTATTTAACATTGATAGCTGAAGGTCGGAATGAGGCATTGAAGATTAAATACTTCTTATTGCATTTGCTGACATATTTCAAAATAGAAGAGGACTTTTGGGCAATTTGAAAAACTCTGCTTTCTTGCTTAAGATCTTGCTATTTCCCCCAACTTTATGGCACAGTTTGCTAAAGAACTCAGTTTTCAGAATTGTTTTCCCTACCTGAGTTACCTGACTTTCAGGGTAAAAAACATCTAAAAGGTTTTTTTAAATCAATCACATATCAGCCTGAATGTTGAAGCTTCAAGACTTTCAAATAATTTACACTGAATCTCAGTGTTTGTGCTCATATTATATTTATTACCTGCTTAATACCTGATCAGTTATAATGTCTGTGAGAATAAAAATTACCCCTTCAGAATTTCTTGAGCAAATTACAACAGACAGAACTGTTTTCTGCTAATTCAGTACTTTGTATTATGTGGCAGCAATACTTCTGATGTGGCTCTACAACGAGCTCATGCTGGACACTCAAAATTGAGCATATCTGTTGGTGATTTATAATACCAGACCTTGGTAGCATCTGCTTTTCCTTGAGAGCTATATTTAACCATTTTAATTATGATTTGTGATTCCAATTTGGAGAGGGATTTCTGTTTGTTTTAATGACTGCAGTCTCCAAATCTGTGTCATAAAATTTTGATCTGGTTTCTAAATACACTTGTTAACAGCTTGTAATCATGATGTGCATAGATGGAAATGAGGGCAAGAACCATGCTTGTTAGGCTGACTTTAGCTTGGAAAGATCATAATTGTGCTTGAGTATTTTGGCACAAATACTCTAACTAAGAAATACTCTGTTTCCTAAAAAAAGAATACACTGTCTCTCTTTTTCTCCATTTAATCTTACATATTGTCAGAGTTGCTTAGTGACTACTGTTTTTCAGGAAGAGAACAAGATTGTAATCCCAGGTTCCAACAGCCACACAGAAGTCATGTTGTTTCTCCATATCACAACCAGATGAGGGAGTTCACACAAAGACATCAGCAATCCCAAGGTAAAAAATGGGTGCATGTTTGTGGGTTTGGAATTGTCCCTATCACCAGTATATCAGCTCTGTGTCTACCTGCAGTTCATGTTTATGTGTGCAGTAACCCTACAGCAGTCAGCAACAAAACTTGCACTGATGCTTTAAGTTTTAGCTTTTATATTTTTCAGATTCTGTGCTGCTTTAGTGTGTAGTTCTGAGCTTCACCTTAAGGCTTGGTAAGCTCTCTTCACAGAGTAGGTAGACAGAACAAGTCCTTTTCCAGCTAGGGACCAAGGACAATCTATACTTGTTTTGGGCCCAGAGCATAAACAATGTGGACTGAAGAGGAAAAACAAGAAGGATGGGACTTCATAACCTAAAGCTGTAATTGGACAATTAACTCCAAAACTTATAAAAATGTGAGACCTCATGACCGGTCATCCATTTTTGTGACCATTTTGGGTTCATCTTGGGTGTAGCCCTGGCTAGGCTCTTATACTGCCCAAGGTGTATCCATTGAGGCCTTTTAATAAATACCTACTTCATTCTTTAACTCTGTCTAGCCTCTGTTCTAGGTCAGCTTTCACAAGGCATCAGCATCAGTTACACAGTTGTGTATTGCCTCTTGCAAAAACCAACTCTGCAGGGTGAGGTGGAGTGTAGCACTGCAATCTGCAGTCATCTTCTACTCACAGTGTTCTGGGAAATAAGCTTTCATGTGGTATTTGTAATTTTCAAGCTTGGTCTCAGCTGAACTGTGTTTAAAATTGTAATTGTTCTAAAACAAATTGGCACAGCTGCACAGAAATGTGTCTGAAGTCTTTAGCTGCAGATCTTTGTTCATACTTCAACAAAACCCTCAAGCATATGAATAAAGTTAAACACATTCTTAAGTGGTTTTCTAGATCAGGGTCCCTGCTTCCAGGTCACTGCCTAAGTGATACAAATGCAAGTTTTGTCTTGCCTTGGCATTAATCTTAAATCATTCACCAGTCTCACTTCTTGAAAAGAACAGACATTTCAGTGAAACACCACAGTGGATAACACTGTTGAGCTGACTTAATTCAGTTTTACTTCCTCGTTACTGTGAGTTGAAGCACATACACGTAGATTAAAGAAAATAAGCAAATGGAAGAGAGGTGTCTAAAAAACATCAATTATTTTATTAAGTCTGCAGAACCTGAATTTCTTTCATATTTCCAGGTGAGGTTTTCAAATAAGATCACTGATGTGATTAGGAAAGATAAATAATAAATAGATAGAGTGAAGTCTTAAATGTGTTTCAGCTGCCACTGTTGAATGCTTCAGAGTAAGATAATATCATTTGATTCACAAATAATATTATTTGATCCTCTATGTAAAATATAAAGCTAAAATATAGAGCATGTACGCTGACCGTATGCAAAACACAAACTGGTCATTGTTACCAGTTCTTGACCATCTGAAGAACCCTGATATTCAGGGGTCAGACAATCTCTGACCAGCTCCAGAGATTTTATGGCTAGGTGTATTCCACAAAGTATGTTCCACAGTAACTGTGCTGCTGTGTTATAAATGTCTTTCAGTAGCATTATTTAAACATCTTGGCTTCTTCTACACTATACCTATTTCTTACCCTCAGGACACTCTTAAAACATGATCCCATAACTGCAGTTAAATTGCCTGTGTTATAAGTGAAACAGGTTTATTGGAAAAATACATCTGTCCTTATAAAAGAGCCCTTCAATGTTTTAGAGCTCCTTTTAAAGTGATCTGCCAACATGACTCATTTTGGCAAAATTCTTCTATTAAGTTTGCTAATATTAGCACAGGTATTTGGGTTACTTCTCTACGTAGCTGTTGTCTGTTATATGAGTGTCTCAGCAAAGAGAGAGAAAGAAAAAACAGCCATTTTCTGTTCATGGTAGCTTATGTGATAAAACTCCCTAGTAATGATATCTGATATCTGAATACTGATATCTGTCTATCCCATCCTCTATGTACCTTTCCATGGTACACTGTTATGGCTCCTTATAATACATAAATCATATGGCTCCATATAATATATAAATCATTGGATTAAATACAGTAAAAAGTAATGGAACAGTAACCATGGGACCCATATCTTCTCTATCAGGAGTGTATATAATGATTAGGCAGCCTTTGCTCTCTCTTATCAGTTGATGTTTAAGAATTCTGTGACAATGTCTCAGCTTCACCAGTGGAGTAAAGAGTGCCTCCAAGAAAGCATCAACCTGAGAAGCAGTGGCATTTCTCTGAGAGGATGGCTGGAATCCCCTCAGGCAGGACAAGAACTGGACTCAGGCATCCTTCATTATATGGCCAGTAGTAGCTGCTGTACCCAGCTGCTGTAATAAGCACCTCATCCTCTAGCTGTATTTTGAGTGCAGGGAATTCAGTTGTGGCTTTTTTTGCATTTTGGGAAGGTTTGGGGGTTTTTTGTTTGATTTTATTCATTTAACTTCTCTCCATAAATTTCTTGGCTGTGTGTTACAAATGGATAAAAGCACATCTGTGTTACTCAGAGCTGGACATCTAAGCGTCAGGAAGGTAGATTTCCCCTTAATATTTCTTGTTTGATAATTTATGGATTTTAGGTTTGTGGCTGCAACACCACACACAGCCCATGTACCCTATTGGTAGACAAACTTCATTAATTAGAAGTTAAGACCACTCATACATCACAATGTTAACTCATTCTCTAAGAACCTAAAAATAAACTGAGCATTAAGAACTATGGAAATCACTGTTAATTATCCATTTCTTCACAGAATGTAATTGCATCAAAAGGGTACATTCACTTCAGTCTTAGCACACTGTAAAACACATAACTGCTGATAATACAAGCAGCCTCTCATTTGCAAGATACTTAGTCAAGTCTTCCACACTGGTGTTGCTTTCAACCATGCTTCTGATTAATAGGATTTTGGTAGAACTGTAATGCAGATGGGACCTGGTGGAACTTCAGTGCTGAGAAAAGATTTAATTTACATTGTGGGGCTGCTTTGCTAATAGAGCTCTCTAACTAAAGCAGTATGGTGCACAGGCACATTAAACCAGTATGAAAATATTGGTAAATATAGCTTATGTCTGGTTCTAAACAGCATATTATCCTTACCTGAATTCATACAGTCAGATCTACCAGTCACAGATGAGATTCACTATCCCAACCCATTAACTTGAGTAGGCTTAAAAGTTACAGTCACCCAAGAGTTTTAAAAAGAGCCACCATGCACTTTATCCTCCAGGATCTCGGAATACTAGCCACAATTACACACCAACTGGGCAGGGACATGTACTTTTTTAAGATATGTATAATTGTAACTTTTCTTGCATGCTATCCTAATAAGCCCTTGTTTTTCTGCTTTAATGTTCACTGAATGTATTTAATTCCTCTCTTACTGTCTCCAGGTAGAAGATCAGAACATCCACATGGGAGAAGGCATCACCATCATCCTCGGTAAAGAATTCATGTCTACAAGTGGCAAATGGGATGGTGGAATAGTTGCCACTGGGATAATTTTTGTTATTCAGGCTTTCACCTGTTTTTTGTGAACTGTGCAGAGTAACTGGAGACAGTGTGACTGTGGAGAAAATCACACAAAGCTGAGGCTGTTCAGCTTGTTATGTGACTTATCATGTTAGGTCTAAGCTTGTTATGAGACCAGAATCACCAAAACTTAAGTTACAGCTACCTGAGGCACGGTAGCATCCCAGTATAGCTACGCTGTTTTGTCCATTTGACAAGGGAAAGTCTGAATTGTTTTTTATAACATTGTGAGATATTCCTGAGTGTAAATGTAAGACTTAAGCTATAATTTTTGCATATTTTTGTAATAGTTGTTTATATTACAATACTTTCCTCACCATGAATAATGTGTCATGTCTACACTGTATTGTGGTTTATGTCTTGATTGTGGATTATATCTGTGTTTTAAGGGTTATACCATTGTTTCTGAAACCCTGAAAAGTTTGAAACATGACATCACTGTTGTAAGCATCATCTGCCAGTGAAACAATGTGACTTTCTTGCAAAATGTAACACTTTTTTACAAAGGAAAAAAAATTACTTTTACATTTGATACTTTTAGTTAAGGAACTTTTTATAATTTTTTTCAACTGAGGAAGGAATCTATCATGCTCTACTTTTATAATGAATAAATATATTTTTCATACTCTGTATATAGCAGCAATCCAAAAAAAAAAAAGCAATGAGGATTTCTAGTTTTATTAGAAGTATGAGCCAACACCATTTCACACAACACGGTGTCTTGATTTGTGTTTCAGGAAATGCACTGTCATCATAGGGGTATTCCTGCTTCCTTTTTCAATTGATTTTCCACTGACTGTAATTGTACTATCATGTTTTTACTATCATTTTATCCCTCCCCTACAAACCTTTTGAAATAATGTGGTCTGAATTTTATGGAGACTTCTCTGGTTTCAGGGATCTCATGATGTATAATAGTGTATTTTAAAAGAATGTGATTGTGTGCCAGAATTTGTTGGTAATTCCTTCTTCAGGCTTTGATATGAGAAAAGATGTCTGTTATCCTCAATAAACAAAGTTAAATACAGTCAGAGTGGGAGTTTTGCTGTGCTAGCTGTGGTATGAATTGTTGGTAATAATAACCCTGATTACTGAAGAATTGATAACGTCTCTATGAGGTTGTTTTTCTTCCTAATGTTAGACCATAAGGAGAAGCTGCTTATTATTATTATTTCCAAGCCAAAAGATTTTTTTCCCACCAGGAATAGTAGAGGGAAAGCAGAAGCATGAAGCTGAAACATAGAGGTGCTGTTTTCCTTCTCACTGAACTTTGAATTGTTTACAGTACCACAAAGCTTACGGACTCTAGAAGGAAATCGTATTGTTCTAGTTTAATATGTGGACCGTAGGGTTGTTTTGAATGGTTACAGAATAGAGGACAAACAGACATGGATTTGAGGTGAAGGAACACTTCAAAGAAGTGAAGAAAGCATTCTTGTTCTTCTGTACTGCTTAGTCTTTTCTAGCCTGTGCTCTGGGTAGCTGCCTTACATTAAATATTCACTGAAATTGTGGATTGATTTAATAGCCTTATGTGTTCCCCTTATGGAAGGGGATCCAGAGAACATTCCATAACATCAATAACTTTGTCAACAGTGACTCAGCAGAAACTGTGGCATGGTCATTGTGAGAGAGTGACTGACAGGAGCACATCTATCAGCTTTCCTCTTCATGTATCCTTCCTCTGAAATTGCTTTGTTCATTTGTGACACCATCACACTGGGAATCTGAATCTGGACTGAAGAAAACCCTGAAACAATGAGTTAATCTTACAATGCTGTGACACTGCAATTATCAAGATATATGGTTTGTGCCTCTTTTATAAAACAGGAGACTACAATTTTAATTGTTCTGCTATCTTAGCAAGTGCTGTGCTGAGATGGAGCGGAACAGCCATCCTAAAACTTTACAGATCTTTTTGTGCCATGCTGTCTGAGCATGTCTGTTCATGCTCAATATCAAAATGTATCTTGCCAGTAAGCATCACCAAAAGACTCTCTTCTTCTCAGTGATGACATTTGTGATGACTGTTTACCATTCCTTTGGAGATGAAGGACTTGATTTGGTGATCAGATTCAAGCAGAAACCTGAAAACTACACAGGCTAGGGAAGCAAGGGCACAACAGAATGCAAGGTATGGGTGCACACAACCCATCAATTTAGTATTTTGAGGCTTTGGAGTATTTTGAATCTTTTTGAGTATTTGTCTTTGCATTGATTCTTATTTTCCCAGTACACATTAGATCACTTATCAAATGACCTTTTTTTAGTAGTGGTCCCATAGATAAACAGGGATATATTAACTGCTAATATAGTTAATCTAGGCATGATTTTTTTTAATATTAATACATTGATATTTCAAATGTATTAAGCTTCTCTTTTTCATGCCAGAAGATACAAGAAATATTAGGCACAGAAACCAATCCTGGATATAAGCTCTCTGAAAATGCTTGATAGCTGCAGACTTTTTAATAGAAAATAATGTGCAGCCTGTCTCAAAAATTAGGTAGCCAAGTCTGCAGCTTGTTTTTGGACTCATATTAAAGAGCAAAACTGTACTGTAAGAGATGTTCTGATATCAGATGTTTCCTTATGATGTTTTAGGTGGCTTAAAAACCTCAATCAGTGAAAGCAATCACAGTTTTTAGAAAAGTGATGAGAAACTTGCATGGTATTTATGGCATTTGGAAAAGTTAGGTCAAGGTAACCATTCAGAAGTTACCTTTGTGACATTCAGCTTTATTTTAGACAAGAGGTTGTTTGTTAATAGCAGAAAACCAGCAGGCTCTGTATCTACTTCCTGATAACACTTTAATTTTCACTTGTGATCATGATGCAGCTCATCTGATGTAAGTGTATAATGAGCTGCCTTTTGATAATCATCTTTGTCCCTAGTTTAATTACCCATCAGCTCCTTCAGTCCTTCTGATCTACATTCTGCTGGAGGGTTTTCAATTCCAGTGACATTTATGGAGGTCTGAGGCAGGGTGCTGGTGATGAGGCTGAACCTCTTGTTACATAATACACATAGGAAAAATCACCACATTTAAATAGGGTGAGAAGGCTGCCCCCAAATCCTTGAGCAACTTGCAATACTCCTCTCTTTAACAAAGCCTTCATTTTGTAGGTGTGATTTAATTTCTGCTCCACCTTCCCTGTGCAGAGAGGGGATTTCACAAAGGAGCAAACAGGAGAGTTTCAAACAAATCCACTACAAAATTGCATTTCCAGACAGAAGAGGGAGAGCAGCTATACAGTTGATGTCCAGTAGCACAGAGCATTTAGAAGTTGGTCAGTGCATCTAGACCAAAACTTCTAGGTTTTAAAAACAAATCAGAAACTTTGAACATATACTGGTTTGGAATACACTTAATGCAGATTTGTTTGTGGTTTTTATGGACTACTTGCCTATCTAGGCTCATCTTATAACTGTGTGACACCAGTGCAAATCTAGGCATTGATTGTGGTTTATGCTTTAAATAAAGATTAGATTTTAATATTTCCTGAAGTTTTGAACAAAAGAAATACTAACCTGCAAATTCAGCCTTCTTTTTTTTTTTGAAGAGGGAATTATTTTACTTATTTGCATTGCTGGTTGCTATATTAATTCTTGGCAACAAATAGTGCTGTAAGAAACTTTTGCTCCAAGCAAGTTAAAAAATAGCATCAAAGAAAAAATATTAAGTGCTAACAAGAGCCAGTTTGCATGTCTTAACACTTCCTTGTTGGAAGCAGGAAAGAAATCCCAACTTTGTCACTGTGCATTTGTTTACACTAAGGTGTTATTGCTTAATCACTCCACCATCCTTCTCCCTCATAAACGCCCCCGTCTGCCTGTAGAAAGAGCCCAGCTTAGCAAGGCTGATCATTTATGATGTTAGAAAATAGGAAGGGAGCGGGGAGAGGAGAGGGCAAAAAGAAAAAAGAGAAATAAAGCTTTTCTTCTGTCCCTGTGATCCAGGAGTGCAGTTTTGGGGGGTTTGGCTGCCCTGTGTATTGCTCACTAGGGGCTACAGCTGGTTCCAGCTCCAGCATTTAGGCTTTGAGAGGATGAGTGTTCAGCCTGCTGGGGGATAAGATGCCTCTCTGTGTGCTGGATATGATCTATCCTTAGAGGGGAAATAGTTTCAGTCACAAAACAGTTGTGCTTCTAGGTATGTGAGGGTAGCATGTGTGAAGTTTCTGTAAGAAACTTGGTAGCATTTTCCTCCCTTACAAAAAGTCTTCTTGCTCTTTATATGCCTTCAGTAAAATCCCCAAAGGGCCAGAGGGAGGGTCTGTTTTTTTTTTTTTTTTTTCCCTGAATTCTGTTGGTTTTAAGTTGGGACTACCAGAACAGAAGTTTAAAAGTAATTTTACGAAAGAAAATTAATCAGATATGAGGCCAGGGTTGCTTGGAAAACTAAAAATTAAAGGCTGTGCTTTGTCTCAGGCACCTTGTGCAACTTACTTCATATGAACTGCACCCTTTTAGATGTGTCAGGCTGACAGTGCTGGGAAATTAGGCTTCCAACTTCTGGTAGTTTCCCTGACTGCTGGACTACAAACTGGCATGACAGATTGCATCCAGCACAGTAGGCTGCAGAAAGTAGTTAATGGAAAATAGACTGCTTTGATGTTCACTTCTGGTGGGCTGATCCTCTGGTTTAAAGGCTAAACATCTATTGTCCCCAGTAGGAGTTTTCTTTATGAAAAAACTTTCACAAAATCTGTAATTTCCATTTCGTTTTCTGAGACTGTGGTTTGCTCTATTTCTACATTCAGTAGCCAGCAAACATTTTCAAGAGTGATTTGTAATTTTCATGTCTCTAACTTCAGAGGCCACAGACATGGCCTTATTTCTCAGAAATAAGTTAAGCATCTGTCCTCTTCTGCAAAAGCAGATGTCCCTAAAGTATTTCCATCAGAGCACCAGAAATGAAGGCACCTAAACACACTGCCTACTTTGCTGGAAAATGGGGCTAAGCACTGCAGAGATGCACCTTAGAGAACAGGCTCGGCTAGAATTAAAATGGGGGGAGGGTAAGGAGAGTGAGAGCAAATACAGTAACAGCCTATGATTAGAAATCTTAACAATGACAGTGAGTTCTGTTTAATTCCTAACTGCTTAAAAGCAGGCCTGGGGAAATGCTCTGCTTAGAAATGCCATGGAAAGTGCAGCTGGTCCATAGGCTTTATCTTGAAAAGCAAAGGATCTTTCCCATTTTGCAGTAACACTGCCATTTACTGGGCCATACCACTAGCAATTTGCAACAATGGGAGGGAAAAAAGCTGCCATTTGACCTAGAATGCAATTTTCAACTAATT